GAGCGCCCCTAGCCCGGCCCCGGCCCCGGGCCGTGGCACCGTGACCTTGGGGGACAGGGCGGCGTGGGAGCAAGGTCACGGCACCCTGGGCTTTTCCCGGGGCCCGGCCCGCCCCGCCCCCTCCTCGCGCGTGCCCTTGGCTCCTCCGTTCCTCGCGGCCGTTGCGGGCCGGGAGCCGCGATGCGGCCCTGCGCATCCTCCTGCTCCGTGGCCGCCCTTGACTCGCGGCGCGGGGCCTGGCAGGGGCCGACTCCCTCTTCCTGCCCGGCCGGTTGCAGCGAGCTGGAGCCGGACTGGGATTTCGGGCCCGCATGAGGCTTCGAACGGGAGGAGCGGGGGTCCCCTCGAGCTGGGCCCTGCCTGGTGGGGGCTCTGAGGCCCGGCTCCTGTCAAGGGAGACCGAGGCCTGTGGGGCCTATGGAGCTGGGCACTGAAGCACCCAGAGACGCTGCCTGTTGCTTGAGCTGTCCCCATTGTGTCTTGTGGGCACCGCATCTCCGTGCCCTCTGTAAAAGTGACTCCTCAAGCAGCCCACGCTTTGTCGGGCCTTGCACTTCAGTAGTAAATGCAGAGGTCACCAAGTGCAGCCTCTGTCCCTCAGGCTCAGTGGCTGTGGGCACAGCCACTTGTCACCTTGTCTCCAGCTGCTGGGAAGTTGCTCCCAGGGGCTCTTGTTTAATAGCCTTTGTGTGTTTAAAAACAGGCTTTGGGCAAGGTGACCGCTGTTGCAAAGAATTCATATCACTTCTGGAGAAGGGAGCAAGAGTGGGGAAAAACACACATGTAGATACTTGCCTCTTTTTCTTTCTACAGTCTTTGGACCATGGACACTTGGTTTTCAAGACTGGTACTTATTCTGGAGGCATTTTTACAGCCACGGTCACCCCTTAACAGGATTCCTCTAGACCTGCTGGGTCTGTTTGAATGCTGCCATGTCTGTATGTGGGAGCATCCACTTGCTGTTCAAAAAGATCATGTATCAAGATTCCTGCAAAACAAACGTTTACTGACTTCTGCTCAGCTTAGCATAGCCCAGACATTGATGCATTCAGTCTCTTTTCCAGTCTTCTGTTGTGTTCTATGCACTTGGAATAAAACCGCGTCTGTGAATTCATTTTAGTTTTCCAGTGAATAATTTTAAGGTCAGAAAGCACCAGTTTTGATCATCCACTCTGACCTGAGTAAGTCAGGGTATAGAATTTCACTACACCTTTCCTTCATCAAGCCCGTAACTTCCAGTATGCCACTTTGCTTTTTGTATTCATTACGTCTCTGTGGTTACTGTAGAATTTGAAACCTGAGCCTTTGATACGATACATGGGAGGGTAGGCCTCAAGGACCCTACATACTTTTCTAACTAAAAGTTCACCTTCTCTGTGTATTGTGCCAGCTTCTTTCTCTCCAGCATGTAGACGTGTTGAGATACTCTTTACTCACCCACTGCTGTGATCTGTATACTGCATATTCTGTTAGAGGTCAGAATGGACTCTAGCTGTACCTTTTTCCCCCATAGCATTCATTACAGTATTATAATCAACAAGAGCAACAGCATTTCTAATCATCTTTCCTTCAGCCTATAGTCTGTCCTCCTTGCCTTGAAGCTGCATTCTTAATGCCAGCTCAGCTTAGGTGTCAGAAACCTATGGTAGGAGATTAAGGTAGTCATATACATTCCCATCCAGCTGAAAGGTATTGTGTTTTTTGCAGTCCTTCCAAGTAGTACTTGCATCAGTATCAGCTGATGCATTAGTCTGCCCTTCTACTACTGCTTACTATATATGGTGGAGTGGGTTATAATCAAGTTCTATGAGAGTGCCATTGCATCAACTCTGATATTAGAAGTGTCACCACATATAAAACAGAATTGTAATTAATATTTCTATACTTGAATTATGCCATATTCATATTTAAGAAAATCTGGTCAAAGTTATTACATAGTGTAAATGCTGTGATAGCAGTTTGACAGGGCCAGTAAAAATTAAGAAATCATTGAGAGTATGGCAAGCTCTTTTGATACCAGTCCTCTGGTTACAAGATTTGGGGTATGGCTTCTGATGCTATGTAACTTATAAGATCATAGACTGAAATGACCTTAGGTTGAAGGTTGCTCCTATTGTTTCACATCCTATGACCCCAGCTGACTTCCTGCCCTTTGGGTGAGGGGGCTGGACTCGGTGATCTTCCAAGGTCCCTTCCAGCCCTGATGTCTGTCTATGAAATCTTGATGTTGACAAACCCTAATTATGAGGCCAGATTGCTTTTGATTGTGACTTTTATCCCATGTAAGTATCTTTAGTGTTGATATGTAAACTTTTACAGCTTCATTTGTTTCCTTAAATGCACAACAGCAGTTTGCAAAAGCATTAACCTGTAATACTGCCTTATTTTTAGAAGTGTCATTGGCCCCGGCAAAACCACTGTCATGTGTTTGTCTCCATTCCTGCCCGTTTTACCTTAATTCTGCTTTAAAAATTAGAAGCCTTTCTTTATTGATAACAGAATGCTTTCATCACAGACACAAGGATAACCTGAAAATTTCTTCTGTTCATTCCCTAGGCCAGCTCTGTTTTTGAGTTTCTGATAGGCAAAAGTTTTTTGTGATATCTTTTATTGGACCAGCCAGCTCTGTAAGTGGGAGACCTTTTAGACAAGCTCAGAGACCTGAGAAAAAGACACCTGAGTTTCTGCAGACTTCATCAGTATTTGCTGATTTCTTGTAACTGTTTTTGTTTAATATATTTTAAACAAACAGGCATGCACCATGTATGAACTTAAAACAAACCGTGAAAATACTGAAAAGGACTAAGGGCAGGATTTTCTTAAGTGTTCATCTTGGATTTCTTTCGTGGAAATCAGTGGAAAGTTCCCATATACTTCAAAGAAAACACATTTAGGCTAATGTGGACTACTCTTAAAAAAATTCAATCCAGGGAATAAAAGTGAGCCATCAAGGTTGCTACTTATGAAATTATGTAGGTCTTTACAAGCTCTATGACTTATTTTGCTTGCCATAAAGTCTGCTTTCTTCAGTTGCCATGTAACTTGTATTGGCTCTCTACTTGAGGTGACATCTCAATTTAATTAATCAATCATAATCTGTGTAACTAAAGTTACTGGATTGTCATGTCCAGAGTATAGTACTTAGTATAGTACACAGGGAAGCTAGTGTGCAGCCAGATCAGGTGCAAATTTATAGCACACCAACTCTACTTACATTAACTCTTCCTATGAGTGGTCATAGTGACTATTCAAGAAGCTTTTGGGCACGTAGCTTATTTGACTGTGAAAGAAAAGTACCTTGCATTTCATGTGCCTTGCATTTCATGTACACTACGCATTTACTCCAATTTTGCTCTTTTGTGTAGCCAGTGTCCTGTAAATTCATGTCCTAGCGTGCTGTTCACTATCTTTCCTGTGTCGATGAGCCCCTACATGTATCTATTATCTGGATGATCTTTATGGGTTCTTTGCCCCAGCACATTTTTCCTTAACATAAAACAAATATTTTCATCTCAATTTATTATTTACAAAAATTTAATGGAAAAGCCAAGGTTTTCTCTCATTTCATGAAACGTTTAACTTCTACATCCAGTTAATAGGGCTTGTGATGGTGGTGGAATTACTATCTTCTGTTATTGTCATGTTTACTGTCAGTGTTTTACAGCATGTTAGACATGTCTTTTGTTTACTTTTCTACAGGTTTCTTGGTTGCTAGGTGCTTTCAAAAACCAAAAACAGGTGACCAGAGGTTTTGGTAGTGCTGTGAGTATAATAGTACCATTTTTTTCCTCTTGAGAAGTTTCTTAAGAAAGGTGCACAATAACTGACAAGATTGCTGTATTTCCTTGCCACAAATTAAGGATAAACTCTGAATACAATGACCATATGTTCTAAATACTGTGGTAGATTTCTGTTGATTGCTTTTTACACCTACATCTTTTGGCAGTTACACATTCAAAAGAGATTTCTTCTGACAAGTTCATGTTTTAAGCATCCCTCGACAAAAACAATTACAGAAACTGCATGGAAAACTTGCACCTAATTTGGATATAACTGACAGTCATGGCTTAGAAATCAGTCCTTTGACATGAGAAATTCATAAATCAAAAGAAGGTTAAGAAGCTTCTCATCATGTTCGTTTTTTATTTTGCAAACTTCCCTTTTAGTAACTGATTTACTTTAAAAGCCGCTGCTTTTAGAATATCCAGCTTATATAGGTCTGCCTTTTTCAAGCCCCTCTTTAGTGCTGCACTATGTAACGATTTTTTTCTCAAAACTTAGGTGAAGTGATCTCATTTGAATTTTTTACCTTCTTTGTGGGTAGTAGTATAAAATGCCTACAAACAGGTTCTCAATGCCTCATATAAAGTGGGTCTTAAAAACTGTTCAGACCAATGCATTAATCAGTGCAAAGCCCCCTGTTTTTATCTTCTGAATTTCATGATGAACTCTAGCTTTTAATTGTAATGATATAGTGTTGTGCTCTCAGAAAACTTAGGGGGGGCAGGGAGAGAGAGCAAGTTTTTGGCTTATGTTATTGGAAGTCACTGAGTATTGCACCTCAAATACCAAATTGACATATTACATTGAAAGCCAGCTCTTGTATTCTTCTTGACTATGCCCTACTCATTCATTGCTGTGCTAGTTTTATTAGTAGAGGGTGAAAAAAAATAGATAATTATAGCTGCCTAGCAGACAAATTAACCATGTCCTCTGGCACTTTATCTTGAAAGTATTTAAACAAATTTTGTATTTAACAGTCCTGTTAAGAACCAGTTCTGCCTTCCTTTTTCTGCATCTTCATTTTGTTATGTATAATTGAACCCACTGACTCTATTTTATTCAGAATTTCTGATAACATAAATGCTGAGTGTAAGCAGTTGTATAACCTTTTATATTTTACAATTTATTATAATTAGGGTATTTTCGAGCAGTGGTGTTCCTAGGGCTGCCTTCAGTAAACTTAATAGTAAAAATACCTAGAATTAAAATGGTGATCGTATTTTTCAACAAGGTTTGCTTCCCTGGTTACTTGATGAGTCTAAACTGCCCAGTCCACATTCTTTGCCTGAGAGATAATAGCAGGAGCAAAAGGCTGAGTGAACTGATGAGGGGAATATACCTTTGCTGCTAATAGGTCAGAGATTCTAGGAAAGAGGTCTGTCAAGAAATGTTTATGCAGGTTTTTTAAGTAAATATATTTGACTTCATAAAGTTAAAAAATAAACATAGTTGGGAAATAAACATCAAAAGCTTGTCCAGCAGTGGAATAGCATGTGGGGAAGTTCTGGGGACAAGAGGCATAACTAGATAATGTTGAGTAAAGCTAGAGGGAAAAATAAATGGCAACAGTATTGTGGAGACGAGGAGCAGGAAGCCTGCGGTGTGTTTCAGATAAATTGCAGCAGGCAGATTGTAGGGTAGTTTTTGTGGAATACCACAGAGTATTGATAGATATGCATTTGAAGCACTCCAAATCCCACTCCAATATAGTATGCTTCGCCATGGTGCAGAGATATACAGCCTCCTGCGAAGGCATGCAGTGACTAGAGAGCAGGAATCCCTGCAGGCCTCCAGTTTCCAGAGCTTCCCAGGGACAGCCTAACACAGGGGGAATAGTACAGCACCGTGGGATGCTGACGACCAAGTAGTTCCCTCTTACATTGTACTGGAGAGTGCATATGCTTCAAGAAGTGCTTCTGCCTTTTTTTGGAGTACTTCAAATAGTACATGTGTCTGTGGCCTTGGCAGACCTGCTGCTCACACCCTAGCATGAAGCTATCATTTTTTAAAGCGACTCTTGCGATTGACTATCTTCTCTGTTGTAGCAAGTACTGTTGGTTTTTTGTAAGATGCATTGCTATGTTCTCTAGGCTGAATATGCAGTTCATTCGTTGTGCTACTGACATTTTTGTCTAGGTACAGACAGTAACTTTAATCCCAGGAGATGGCATAGGACCAGAGATTTCTGCTGCTGTGATGAAGATCTTTGATGCTGCCAAAGTAAGCAACTCCTTTGCCTTGTCACGTTTCTTATAACTTTAAGAGCATTAAAACCTGCTGATGTATGTTAAATAATCACTCTTCCTTCAACTTTCAAAACTGTGTGAAAGATGTATTTGTAACTCATATTTAAATTAAGATAGTGGGAGTTCCATTTGAAATGTTGCACTTAATTCCCAGATTTCCAGGCTAGTTCTTTTTAGCAACAAAACCTTGAAGCTTCTGGTATAACAAATACAAGAAATTGGGATTGCAATGTGAAATGAGGACCTATAACTCTGTCAGAAGAATATTCTGTATTTAATTTAATTTAATTGGATATGTTATTAAATAACCAAACTGATTATTTCCAATGAAACATAATGGTTGAATAAATATCTAATAACCAAGAGATGTGTACTGTCCAGTTTGATTTGTGGATACAAATAAACATATTAAAATAATGCTTTTTTCCTCCAATATAAGTGAAATTTATTGAGGATTACATCAAACCTATTTACCTTTGTAACATGCCAAACTAACGTTTCTGAACATATGATGAGAGCTTAGTCAAAATTTGGCACAAGTTGTAAGGGTATGAAATCAAAATAAACCTTTTTTGGGGGGAATAGGGAGAAGCTTTTGTTTTCCCACTGATAGTACTAAGATAAGGGTTTTTTTACTTTCAGTTAGGCCCGTGCTACATGTTACATAAATTGCAGTTAACTGGTTAATCGTGCAATAAATGTAGGAGACAGAAGAGTGAAGCTTTGAAAGACCTAATCTTCATATGGATATATGCCTGCATTAAATATCTTACAGGTAGCTCGACCACTGGGGGCAAAGTAAGAAAAATGGAGAAGGCTGAAACTATAGTATTCTGTGCATGTTAGTTTTGTTAGTTTGTGAAAGCTGAGTTGTATGCTTTTCCTGAAGCTTCATCCTCATGAAATGAGCAGGTGGTGGTAGCTTTATGTTTAAGTAGGAGATTCCCTGGGTGAATGCGCATCAGATCGCACTGATAGATGGAGCTGACTCACAGATTTCCATGTACACACAGAATGCAGGCCTGTCTGTTCCTCTGTCAGCAGTTTTTGATGATTTATTCTAAATTAATCTATTTTTAACGTGTCTCGTATTTCCTGGAAGTATCACACATGATAGAAACAAACTTGAGCTGAAAATAAATAATATGTACAAGGAGTACAAATAATATAGGTAAGTATTACAGTGGACAACTTGTAGTGTCTTCAGAATTTAAGGTTATATTGGGACATTACTTAAAACTTTCACCTTTTTTTCTTTTTATAAATTTTTCACTTTTGGGGGCTGATATTTCCCATGCATAGTGTGCTTTGGAAGCAATCCCTTTTGCACTTCTGTGGGAGAGAAAATTGGAAACAAAATTCTTAGTACAGAAGTTTAATGTAGAACAAATATGTTTTAGGCTCCTATTCAATGGGAAGAGAGAAATGTTACGGCAATCCAAGGACCAGGAGGAAAGTGGATGATTCCTCCAGATGCCAGAGAATCCATGGATAAAAACAAGATGGGTCTGAAAGGTACTTTGTTGGTTAATAGTAAGATATTAAATGTTGTTGCTTGTACTGTGCATGGGATGTAAAAATCAAATTACTCCACTTGTGATATGATGGAATGGTGAACTCTAGGACACAGAAGAAGCTACAGCAGTCTCTTGAGACTTTTGAAGTAGTTCGTGTCAATTTTTAGTGCGACTTCTCATTTGAGTAAATATCACTAACCAGAGTTGGACACCCTGTAAACTTCCCTATGTAGGTTTATGGCTATACCAAATGATAAAATTTAATTTGTATTGCAAGGAATGAATATAGCAGGACAGGTTATAATTTTGGGTGCTGAAATTAAGATAAATGCCATGTGCCGTCAGTCTTTAATGTGGTACTTTTCACGGGTTCACTTAGGAGTGTTATTAATAGAGCAATACGCTGGCATTCAATACATTTTTGGACCCCCCCCTGCCCCATGTAAAATCACAGATTATTTCCCATGCTATTTGTGTAATACTAATTCTAACTGAGTGGCACCTTAATCTTGTTAAGATAGCTTATAGAGTGCTTCTGGTCTTAGGTGCTACTCAGTATGAGAGAGGTTCACAATTTTGGCTTTTAAACAACAGAGTAACCTCACTGGGTAATATCCTTAATGATTCAGAGATCTCTGTTAACTTTTCAGCCCCGTTGAACACAGGAGCTTAATAAGGGAATTTGGATCTTCTATATGACAATGCCAAAAATAACTTTGGCTGTTTGTACAATTGTGGATTAATTCTTTCTATCTTGCTCATTCCTACTGTGTGTCACAGGACCTTTAAAAACTCCAATAGCTGCTGGACACCCTTCAATGAATTTGTTGCTACGTAAAACCTTTGACCTATATGCAAACGTTCGTCCTTGTGTCTCAATTGAAGGGTACAAAACCCCTTACACAGATGTAAATATAGTCACAATTCGAGAGAACACAGAAGGCGAATACAGCGGAATTGAACATGTGGTATGTTGTTGGGAAGTATTTCTGTTTTTGGAAGGATTTCTATGTTCATTCTTCTGTGAATCATAACCTGGTCTGTCAGAATTGGGTACTATTTTAAAAAATGACATGCGATACATAATTTCTTTTAACATGAACTGCCTGGTGTATAGCATTCTGCAGATATTAGCCTCTTGGAATTCTGTGATAGTTAAGGATTCCAAATCTGCACTCTTATCAACGTCTTTATAAATCACTTAAGTTTGCTTGTGATTTGACTGTTATCTATTTTTCAGATTGTTGATGGTGTTGTACAGAGTATCAAACTCATCACAGAAGAAGCAAGCAAACGTATTGCTGAATTTGCTTTCGAGTATGCCAGAAACAATCAGAGAAGCCATGTTACTGCTGTGCATAAAGCAAACATTATGTACGTTGGCCTAACAAAATAACAAAACTAAACATAACATTTAGAATATTAGAATAAAAATACTAAAGCTTGCAAATCTGCTTTCATGCAGATTTTAGTATCTACAGTAAGATTCCAAACTTAGCCCAACACCAATGTAATTACATGAAATTTCTTTATCTGTCTTTTCCCTAGCCAAAAAGTTTTCAATAAACAAGTATTCATCTTTTATTTTCTTAAATAGATTGTGCAAACCAGAGATGGATTTTAATGTGTTCAGACTAAAAAAAAATTGTGTAATACAACTGCTTATCCAAAAGTGACCTTATTTAAATTAAAGCAGTTAAATGAGGGAATATACTCCAAAGGAAGGTGTTTGGAACCCTGATATTTGAGACATTTAAAACAGAAAGCCTGTAAAACTCAGTCCAGGGAATAATTCTGCACTACTTAGTGGTTTTTTCCATTTCCAGTTTCTGGTTTACTTTGTTATCCTTCTGTATTTGTTCTTGACAAGGTGTTATTAAATCTTGCAATTTGAAGGTCACACTTGAGAATTTTGGCAATCTTTTTCTTATTGTGTTGTAATTTTCTGAGAAGTAAAGTAAATGTACTGATTTTTTTTTCTAAACTGTCATAGATCGGGATGAAGAGGCACTGGTCTCTATTTTTTGTATAAAATAATAATGTAACAAGATTAGAAATGTTAACAGTAATTTTTAGACCAGCCATTAAGTTGCGCATTTAGGACCAGGTTCCTATTTCAACAGGTTCCTATTTCAACAGGTGCCCATATAGTTATCTTTATGTAACTGTTTTTTTTTAAAAATGGACTAGGCCATCCATACGTTTTAATGTTATTCTACTTGTCTAATTGCAGGAGAATGTCTGATGGACTTTTTCTGAGAAAATGCAGGGAAGCTGCAGAAAACTGTAAAGATATTAAATTTAATGAAATGTACCTTGATACTGTGTGTCTTAATGTGAGTATTTATCCGTTGTAATCTGATATTTATTTTCTAGTTATAGTACATGGTCTTAACAAAATCATATTTCCTTCTAGATGGTACAGGATCCATCGCACTTTGATGTGCTTGTTATGCCAAATCTGTATGGTGACATCCTTAGGTAAGTGAGCTGGATCTTATCATATTACAATACCGTTACTTCTCAGATTACTTTTCTGAATAATTGTTAAGCAGATGAATGTCTGTCTTCACCACCTGGAACGTTAAAATATATCTAAAATCTGAAAGTAGCACGATAGAAACAAACCTGAACTTAGGAAGAAACTGTAATTATGGTGTAAGGAAGCAATAAGATGAGGCTGTTTTATGGCACCCAAAGGGATTGTGTATGTCCACACAGTCTGAATATGTTAAATAATACATATAAACAGAGTGGTGTGCAAAACAAACAGCTGTACAAAGACTTGCTGAGATACCTTTGGGTGTCTTTTTTCCTTGGGTACAGCTTCATGTTTGAAAAACATGGGCATTTTGGGCACTCCTCTATCAACAGATTAATTTGACATGCAAAGTCAACGGTGAGACAAGTTTGCTATAAGTACTTCAACAAAGAATAATTTCAGTCAAAATCAATGTCTGTGATCTGGAGTCCTTAATGTATGTGTATGTATATAATTTGTCTTGCTTCTATTCCCATCTTACCTCCTACCTTGCAGTTACTGGTTGGCTAGTTTGTTATAGGCATTAGAGTATAAGTGGGTTTTGAATGCCAACGTTTTAAGGGGCTTATCTAATGATACGTTACAGTGGGAAACATGATGACAACTAGTGAATTTGTCCTCATTCATATTGATCTTGGAGGAAACCTTGCTGAGAGTCAGACTTTTGTGTAGCTTTCATTTTAATTCTCATTTGAACATATAGGCATTTTAAGAATGAAGGAAATAAAAACAGTTTTGCATCACTTTAAAAAGTGTTCCTATCAAGTTTTGTTACAAAAAATTGAAAAAGCTCAGCTCTGTAAGTAAAGTTCTGCTCTCTTCATGGGTATCTCATATTTATCACAGATTTCTGAGATTTCTGGAGAGAAAATGGTGGATTACAATTTTAAAGACTTCCAAGTAATTGCATAACAGATCTCAAAACCAGAGAACTATAAGAGTATCAAGGGGTTAGGATACCATATTTATTGTCCTTACCTGTTCAAAATTTCTTCCATTTTAAGAAAGCATGTAGCATCTTGCATTCAACACTGCTGTTGTCATCCTTTTATTTGCTCTGTCATTTTTGGTAAGCTCTATCCTGAAATTTGAAGTTTCCCTGTCGTTTTCCTCATTAAATTGTCATTGTTGTTCTAGTAGCTCTACTCATCTTCAAGTGTGCAGCCATAGTGTAAATAACATATGTCCTTTTCCCCACAGTGTTAAGTTTGCTGTGTGGCAGGTGATTTAAACCTTCTTTGTTATCACTAATACAAAGCAAGTGATTATAGTATTCTCTGTATGCTTTGTTGACAGCGGGTTTTACGTTTAGTTTACACAAAGTAATTTTTCTTCCAGTGACTTATGTGCTGGATTGATTGGGGGTCTTGGAGTAACACCAAGTGGGAACATTGGTGCAAATGGAGTTGCAATCTTTGAGTCGGTAAGATCTTTCCTGTGGGATAAAATTTTGTAATTAACTTTGCTCTGTCTCAGAAACTTAAATCTGTGTTACATTGTATCTGGTAGCTGTTATTGAAACAAGTTCCTAACAAAGCTTTATTGCAATATTCTGTGGTATGCTTAAAATTATGATGTGTAAAACTAATCTAAGTAAATAATCAAAGAAATCATATTCATTGTAATGTAAGGATTTCAAATGTGTGCATTTTTACTGGCATCTGAAATTTTCATTTTGGAACTGGTCTTAATTCTTGTTGGGCATATCCTCTTTATGATATAGGTGTCCTCTGAAACTTGGGAAGACTTTGAAAGTGGAGTTAGGCATCCCAGAACCACTGACTTATATTTGGAGTTTGGCACCAGATTAGCTCCCTTTTCTTTATGCCTTTGAAAATCTTCCCTGTGCCCTTAAAATACCATGACTTAGTTGACTGATTTATTGAAATACTTTATTGAAAAGAACTAAATTCAAATGACGTCTAAACTATTCAAAATCAAATTAATTTTTCAATTGCTAAAATACTTCAGATGCCAAAACAAATAATACATGTTTCTGATGTTTGTCATGATGAATATAATTTCACTTTGATTTTTAGGTTCATGGAACTGCACCAGATATTGCAGGAAAAGACTTGGCAAATCCAACTGCCCTTCTTCTGAGTGCTGTGATGATGCTGCGTCATATGGGACTGCAGGAATATGCCGCTAAAATTGAGGCTGCATGTTTTGATACGATTAAAGATGGAAAGGTATTGCAAGGATTTGCAGAAAAATTTAATGACTTAAAATTACTCTTCCTGTATCCTCAATAATTAATACAGACTACCAAAGCCAAAAAGCAAATTATGGGAAGCACTTTAGAGCATTGAGGGCTGTGTCCAGACATAGGGGGAGGTTAGATCGCATTAAAAATGGCCACGTGATCTAACTTAGTTTGGCCAAGTACAGACCTTACATTTGGATTCCTAGTTAGGTCCATCTAAGTGCAAACTATACAGACCTTACCTAAGCTAACTCTACCTCTGAGGTAGTCTAACTTAGACTGGGTTGGCCATTTCTAGACTCATCTAACTGTCCCAAACTTCTGTACAGTGCAGCTTCAGGGCTAGAAACACCAACTGCTGGCACTAGCCCCAGGGCTTTGCTTTTCGTACCCCCTCCTTGGCACAGGACTATTTTCAGTGCACACACCCAGATGGACAACCTCCACCACCCCCACCCAGACCAGCTGGCCCCGTTCCACACCCCCCAGCCCACCAAATCCCACCAGCCGCTACTGATGCCAGTTTTATCAGTGTTCGCCAATGGCAGGAGCTGAGGAAGTAAGTTGGGTTGGGGGGTAGGTTTATTGGGAAGGGGAGTGTTGTTTGTGGGTGGGTCAGGGAAGCTAAAAATTGCCCATGGTCCCAGAGGCTGGGGGAGAGAGCCCCCCAAACCTCTTTCTGCAGACCCTGTGAACTCCCCTCCCCCCCGATCCCACAAAACCCTGAAGAGCCCATCTGCCCCCCAAATGCTACGCTTTGGGGAAACTATTGTTTCCCTGTTCCTCCCAACTCCTGACATGCTGGAGGAGCTGGGGGACACTTAAAGCAGTGAAGATGCTATAACCAGCAGCCAAAGCATCTCTCTAGAGGACCCAGCCTTCAGTTACTCCAGTGCATACTCCTGGAGCATGCTTCGTGCCATGGTTTTGGGGGTTTTTTTGGATACCAGTTCTGGTATCAAATTTTGGAGCCATGGTGCAAATTTGTGGGGGATGAATGGTTGTGCTTGCAGCACATGCAGTTTGCGCCACCTCAGACAGTTCTGAAGCACTGCAAACTGCACTGTGCACTTATCTGGACATGCCCATAGGGGCCAAGGTTTCAGGTAACCTCAGATAATGAATGTATGAAATATAAATTACAAAGCACAGATCTTTCTGCAGCTGAATCTGATACTTGTGAATATGGATCAGAAACCTACAGCCCACAGAGCAATTTTATCTTAGCTATGGACCTATGTAAGAGAACAGTTGTATTCCTTACACAAATTACTGTCCAGAATGCCTTTGCCTATCCAATGCTGTTGGAAACTATGCTGTTTCCATGCTGTGCCATCACAAGTGTGACAGGGCTGAACACTTAAGCAAATACGAGCAACACTTGTTGAACAACTTTTTCCATCATTTAACTTTTTAAATCTTTCCTTTTCAAACTAAACCATCTTGTTCCTCAACAAAAATCAAATGTGCCCAGTTTCAACTTCCATCTTCATGCTGTTGCTGTGTAGTTATTCTTTTTAAAAAAATCCTTACTGAATTAAACTTTGTTAGCATTATTCACCTTCATACTCAGCTTGAACATGTGATATTTTGTTGGCAAAGACTGCAACAGCAAGATATAACTTTTTACTGGGGCTTTTAAAAGTTGGCACTGTTTTAGTAGCCTGTTAGGAGATCAGAGGGCTTGAAACAGTTTTGGCCATGTATATGTAAGCAAGAATCTGGAATACACTACACAGAATTCAGGCTTCGTTCAGAGGCTGTAATAGGTTAAACTTTTTTTTTCTAATAACTGTTTTTCTCCCCTTAGGTACTGACTAAAGATTTGGGAGGTAATGCTAAATGTTCAGAATTTACAGAGGAGATATGCCGCCGAGTACGAGACATGGGCTAAAATTGTAATCACTCCTGATGGACACATCACAAAAAATTAATATTTAAATCTGCTGTTCACATGCATTTGGTTTGCCTCTTTCCTGAAAGCAGACTTTTTGGATGGGGTCCTCTTCATGAATAAATTTACCCCAAATGGTTACAAATTATTCTTGTGCCTGCTTTCAGTGGATTTTTTCAAACTGCTTTGTTTTATTTATTACTTGTTTCTAACTGGTGAATTTTTTTTATACAAATGGATTTATTTAGTGTGTCATTTGTAACTGTTACCATTTTACGTTTCAACTAAATTGTTTTTACTTTCCAGAAAAGCTTGTTGTAAATATCAAGATAACTGAATTCCTGAATTATAAAAGCACCTTTAAAAATATAAAACCTATTTTATTTTGTACTATTAGCGTTAAACAGAATGGCTTTTCAGCCTTAAAATAGCACAAGATGACTCTATTTGCAAAAAACAGATAGGAAATAAACCACTAAGAATGTTCCATTATAAATCTTGAGGAGGAAACATTTTTAGGTGCTACATTGCAGTCCAAAAATACAACTTGTCCTCCAAATGCATGAATAAATATGAAAGCTTTAGAAATGTTTAACTTAAAATATAGTATTTTTGTGGAAAAAAAATGAAGGCATAAACTAGATGGGGATGAAGAATAATGATGTTAGTAAAACAAAAGTATCCTTCATACATATATGTATCCAAACATTCTTGTAAGTTTGTCTTTATTAGTTTACAACAGCATATTCCTAATGAAATGTAGGTGATACAAAATCTTTTACTTTTGCTATGTATTGTGAGGGGGAAAGTATTAAGTTTCTGCAGATTTATATGAAATATTTAAACTCCATGACTGTAGCAGAAACATTTTGTATTGTACTTTGTTTTTATGTATTGTCTGTTTAGTGTATTCAAATGTACTAGCTTAATCAGCTTTGTTTCAAAATTCTGACTGTAACAGACTACATAATATGCGATTGCTACAGAGCCTGACACTAGCAGATGACCCCTAGTTTTGGCTATGTCGCTTAGACTCCAGAAATCAATATATTCTCATTCCCTATCTAGAGGTATCTGAGGTTTCCATGAATTTGCATACTAGACCTACCAGGAAGCACAGAGTTAAGTCTCCTTCTAACTTCAACCATGTTCCTAACACAGATATATATGATACTTGAAGGTCTTTGAATATCTCTATCAGTACAATATTCAAGGAAAGATACGTTTTACAGATGAAAACCCTAGAATTTTAGCCAAAGCCTGTTAGCAATGACAGAACTGGCCATAATCAGTCTTAATCTGTTTACAGGTCCCACCCTATTGTCTCTGCTCTTATTTTTAGTCTCAAAGTTTGGAAACCAAAATCAACCCACGCAAAGTCATTTAGTATCACTTGCAAAATAAGCATCCCAGCTGTTTATAATTTTGTCATTCTGTGACAGTGACAGGGATTTTTTTTTTTTGGGTGCAGTTGCTGGTGACACAGTCACTTCCTCCTCCCATATATAGAGACATGGTGGAAGTCTGGAACAGAGCGTTACCTTGATTTTTGAATGTGTATATTTTGTTTGCTGCTGTCTCGTTTCATTTGACAATATGAGCTAAGAAACTTCTGCATTATTACAACGCACAAAATAGAAAAATAAAGACTTCCCAAGGTCGGATCTTTTGTTGGGTTTTTATAAGCCTAGGCTGCTGATTTGTGTTACGGTTTGAATAGATGACTGATACTTGTACCACAACTTGCACATACAGGATGCAGCATGTGAATGTTGAACACACGTTGCTGCAAAATACTTACTTGTAACGTATAGGGGGTAAACATGTGCTTGCTTCATTTGTTCCCATCTTCATCTAACAACCAGATATCAAAATCAGACTTTTCAGCTACCTTTTTGCTTACAAACTGCAACCATCACATAACATGATGCTGCACTTACGTGAAAATTAGAGGAAGACTCGCACCTCAGGTTTGTAACATAAGACTTGTCACAAGCATTGCATGATTTGTAGCATTTCTTTTGGTACAAACATGCCCTTCCTTAAAAACAAGACAAAACCACTGAAGTGTTAATTCTTTAGGTTTTAATGTATATTGAACTACAGTCAGGTAGCAGTTTCACAAAAGAGTACCATGTGATCAGCCATGTTTACCAAACAACTTTTGAACTATAATCAATTAACCTGTTGCAGAATTTAAAAAAATACTAATTTGGTCATCTTTATGCTTCTATCCAGCTGACATAAATGAACTGTATCCAGATAATAAGCAGTTATTTTCATATTCTGTAACAAATTAGCATGCAATTAAGTTTACTCATTTAAGACCAAATTAAAATGGTATGAATGATAGGGGATTGTGACTAACTATGAAGAAAGAAGGAATTACCAGTAACAAGCAGAATTCTAAAAAATCTATAAGCTTGCTGTCTTGGAAAGGCAGTTATACAAGGTGCAAAACCAAATGTCATGTAAGTCTTAGAAAAGTGAATCTCCTTAAAGGTAAGACGAAGATGTTATCCTTTGTAAAATGCACTTATTTCCTCTTTGTACTTTTCAAGCACAGCATCTCGTTTTAATTTCATTGTAGGACCTTTAAAAAGAAAATGTGGTTACATGAGAACTAAATTATAGTAGTCTCTTCTAGCTGAAGGGTCCATAAGTCGCAGTACGGAGAGAACACACACAGTCTACTAGGAGGGCATCCAGTTTTACAATTGTGCTCCCATAAAAGCTGTAGAGGGGCTAGAGGAAAAATAGAAGAATTCAGTCTGGCACATTCCAACAAAGTCAATTCCACAGGCAACAGGAATTAGGAATTAAGTAGCTCCCTCACAGATTAATCATATTCTTTTAAAGATTAAAAGAGCTCTCTTCCCAAATGTCACTTTTAGAAACCCCTTGTCTGGTCCAGTTTACTCACAAGGGCCTCTTAAAATCATTTCAGATTTGCTGGAGTTTTGTTTGCCTTCAGTCTCATCTATCTGATTTCTCATTAAGTATTTTCCTACAGATTTGCTTGATTAGGTTTAATGTTTGCTAAAGATAAAGTCATTAATATTGAAATTTTTGAGAAAATTATTCTGGCGCATATCCACGAGGGGCAAGCAGGAGAGATTATGCTTAGGGGCAACCAACACGGGTTCATTAGCAGCAGGTCCTGTCAGACCAACCTGGTGGCCTTCTGTGACCAGATCATCAAATCCTTAGATGCAGGGGTAGCAGTGGACATAGTCTTCCTGGACTTTCGGAAGGCCTTCGACACTGTCTCTCACCCTGTTCTCATTAAGAAACT